TCTTATTGTTGAGGTGAAGTCTTAGAATAAAAACTGCTTATACTCAGAGAGTATACCTCCATCCAAACTTTCACACAGGGAACAGATCGAAAATACTTATCTATGAGAGGTAAGTTATTCTACATGTGGACAATTCACATTTGGAGATGCAGACCTGTAAGCTCTTCTAAGGCCCAACTGGGCTACTCTCAGTGCTCAAAGGCACAAGTCCTCTCAGAAGACCGAGCCAACAACTCTGCCTGAAAGCCGAAGGAGCACATTTCTCATTGGACACACGCTGGGTTACCCTGGTTGGAATGGACGGGAGCCAGTGAAAAATAACAAGGTGGGGGGGGCTTAGAGAAGTGGAGAGCAAATCACACCTCAGAAGTCACGCTCTCTTGGTTTTTCTCAGTTTTATTTTGTTACTGTTGTTGGTTTTATTTGTGTGTTTGTTTTGTATGTCTTTCTGTATATGAAATCCAGGACAGGTAAATCTATAGAGACAGTAACTGGATTACTGGTTTCTTGGAGGTATGGCAGGGGAGGTTGGGGGAAAATGGGGAACTATTAACAGTGAGTACAAGAAAGAAGAAAATGTTCAAAAATTGATTGTGGTGAAGATTGCACAAATTTTAAAAATATGATTGAACTTGAGTTATGTAATTTGTAAACTATCAATAAAACTGTTAAAAAAAAAGTGAATCCGTCTCCTTTGTGGGTCCCTTTAGCACTGTGTCTGTACTTTAGCACTCTGCTTCCACGTGCATAATAATATATTTTAATTACTTGTCAACATGCCATTTTCTCACTAAACTGAAAGCTCTTTGAAGGTCAAGACCCCTTAGACCAGAAGTTCTCGCTATCTCCTAAAGGAAACTTCAGAAATTTGTAGGAGTAGTTCTTGTTTTTATCGTCAACAGGATGAGGGGGGCAAGAGTACTACTGAACTTACAATGTGCAGGACAACACAGTGTCCCAAATTCTGAATGACTTTAGAATGGTCAGCTTGGCTCTGTCGAAGACAATACAACTACTTATAATCATCTGAACTTATAACTTATTTCTGCTGTGTAGGAACGCAATTTTACCACATTCTGAATTTTCCGTTAAAGAAACCACCTTGTAAGTGAAGAGGATTGGTTGGTGTTTGGTTTGGAAATTTACCAAAACATTTCCACCATTTAAAGTAATGCCATTATTAGTGTCATTGCCACTTGCAGCTTTTGAATTGTCAGTATAGCAAATGCATTTGAAGTTGTGACACTCACAGTGGTTTCACAAAGAGGAACAAGTATATGACTGTATCTCTCGGAATTTACATATTAAGCAGGATTTTATGCATTGTTCTTTGCATGCTCCTCTTCTACAGCAAAACCTTTCTTTTACGAAATCTGCCTCCTGTGTTGTCTTGAGGATTACATTGAGTCAATACTTAAACTCTTTATAGTAGTGTCTCAAATTCACTGCCATCAAGTTGATTCTAACTCATTGCGACCCTACATGACAGAGTAGAACTACTTCTGAGACTAAATTCTAACAGGAGTAGAAAGCCTCATCTTTCTCCTATGGAGGGGCTGGTAGGTTTGAACTGTTGGTCTTGTGGTTAGTAGCCCAACATGTAACCCACTTCATGTCTCCGGGGTTACTTATTGTAGTGCCTAGCACCTAGAAAATGCTACAACATGTGCGGATTACTATTACAGAAAATATGAATATTCATTGATGACTTCTTAATTATACTTGGGATATTTAAGAGATAATGTGAATTTATTTTTAGATCTTTATATTATAAAAATCTGAAATATTTAATTTTGACTAAGTTAAAGTTGCCAAGATGTTATAGGAAGTGCTTCCATATTCTTTTGTATTCTAGGAGATAATCTAGGAGATTAAAGTGAGGTATAATGACCACTGTGACCTATGCTATTGGCCTGAATCACTCATGGTCCATTATAGTCCTGCTCTCAAAAAATCAAACTCAGTGCATCTAATTGATTCAGACTCATAATGACCCCAGATGAAGTTTTTGTGTTTGTGGATATTTATGGGAACTGACAGCCTCATCTTTCTTCTGCACAGAAGCTGGTAGGTTTGAACCAATAGCCTTTAGGTTAGCAGTCAAATGCTTACGCCACCTGCTACTAGGACTCCTCTGGTCCTCTTAGGGAATAATAAAACAAATTAGAAACGAATTCAGTCTTTGTCTATTAAAAAATGTTCCTATGAGCAAGCCTAACAGGCCCAGAGGCAAAATTGGGGCCATTAATGTCACTAAGAAGCAACTCTTATTTAACTTAATTTTACCTTTATGTTTTGAAATATAATTACTAGGGGAGTAAAATTTACAGCATAGGACTCTCTTTCTATCTGCTACTCATTTACAAGTAGCTTTTTTCTTGTTCAGATGCTAATATTGATAGGAAGTAAGAATTACCGTGTTTTGAGCAATATGTTAAGTGTTGTCAGGTGGGTTCGGACTCATAGCAACCCCGAGTACAACAGAACGAAACACTTCCTGCTCCTGAGCCAGCCTCACAATCGTTGTGCTTGAGTCCACTGTTGCTGGCCCTGTCATTCGATGTCTTTGAGCATTTTCCTCCCGTTCTCTGACCCTCTACCAGGCAATATATATAATATACATGATTGTCTAGGTATATAAGCAATATTTAATATGACTTCTCATTACTGCATGTAACTGAATGTTAGGAATTTCAATCCCTATTCTGCAAACAAGGAAATTATTTTTGGAGAAGTTATATAACTTGTCCAAAGCCACACACCCAACCCAAAATGTGGGACTCAGACATCGGAGTTCATTTTCTTTACACCACTCTGCTTCTCTAGTTCAAATCCGAGAAGACTTTGACCTATGTGTGAAATCGCTGTGAATGCCCCAGCTTCAATTGCAGCTTGATAGAAGTATTTATACATGTTGGCAATCCATACTGGAATTGGTTTTCAAAGTAGCAAGATTCTTTCTGTGACCTGGGCTTGGACTGTATCCTTCCATAAATCAATCTGAACAGCTAAGTATGGCTAAAAGTAGCTTTAATATATTTTTTCTCTAGGTGTACAGCGGCCCAAACCATTTTCTTTCCTTTGAAATCTGTATGCTTGTTAAGAGGAGGAAGCTGTCAGAGAACTATCTGTACACTTGTTGGAAAGCCGTATTCTCTGACTGGGTTACTTTGGGAAGTTTGATAAATGGTAATAAATAATGAATCATGATTAAAATCCAGGTCTCCTGATTGCCACTCGAGTGCTTTCCAATTGAAAACTATGCAATCTTTTCAAGAATCTTTCCAAAACCATTTGATACATTTCTATATTTATCTTGAGAAAGGCCTATGGCCTTTAAAAAAAAATCTGATCTGTCAAATTACAAGTACACACACACTAGTTCCTGACTGGGTTAAGCTGGAACTTTCCGACCAAATTGGAGCCACACCCTAGATAGTTACAGACCTACTGTGATCTCTGATTCTGACTCATCGTGAACTGATAAACTTGAAAACGCACTGCCATCTGGTCGATTCTGACGCACAGCAGCCCTACAGGAAAGGGTAGAACTGCCCCGGTGGGTTTCTGAATCTGTCATTCTTTCCGGGAGTAGAAAGGCTCATCGTTCTCTTACAGGACAAAGTAGAAGTGTCCTATGGGGCTTCCGAAGCTGTAATATCCGCAGATGCAGACCGCACCTCTTCCTCCTGAGATGCAGCAGCTCTGAACCACCAACCTTTAGGTTACAGATGCGCTTTTAGCAACTACACCACAGGGCGCCTCAAAAACCGATTCCAGTTTACAGCGACCCTTTAGGGCAGAGTAGAACTGCCCGTGCGGGTGTCCGAGATTGTGACTCTCGATGGGAGCAGCACGCCTCCTCTCTCTCCCTCGCAGCCGCTGTGAGTCGGAGCCCACACAACAGCAGTAGGTCTAACCAATAAGATACGCACTATGGCTCTGTGGATATTCTGTGTTCCATGACAAAGGGGAAGGAGTTTTGTAGTTGCAATTGTTGTCCCTAATCAGTTGGACTTTGCTAGCAACATGGAATGTTATCCTAGTAGAAAAATCTCTTTCTTCCTCGACCTCTCTTTCTCTCTCTCTCTTCACCGCTGTCTTTGAAGAAGCAACTTGCCAAGAATTCTACTGCTCCGTGGAAATTAATTCTGCCGGCAACCTGAGGGAGCTTTCCTAGGCAAGCCTCCAAATGAGAATGCAGAGCGACTTTGATTTCAGACTCGCGCGACCCTGAGCAGAGCACTCAGGGAAGCCATGTCTGGATTCCTGATCTGCGGTAACTGTGAGATAATAATTGTAGGCGTTTGAAAAGGTTACTAAGTTTGATCACTCCTATTAGGTATTAATGTATTTCAAGGGACTGCACTGATTAGTGAATAAATGAATAGGAGTGTCCTTGGAAAAAGCAACAAAGACTAGGTTCCAATTCACCCAACATTTTATGCTTCTCTCAACCTCCTCACCCAATTGTCTTTTATAATTCTTGATCACAAATCCATTCTTCTGTACAAATGTTTTGGGAAAGCAATATGGCAAGGGTTAATGATTTTTAAAACTTTTTCACTGTTATATTAAAATCCATTTTTCTACCTTAAAAAAGTTGCTATGTTTGTGGTAATATGTTACATAGCAATAAATAAATACACATGCATCTACATACATCTACATCTACACATATACATGCATGACTCATGAAAGTCCCTAGCCAGTCCCTCAGGTAGTACAGCGCACACCTTACCTGCACGTCCATGCAGGCGGGCTCCTCTGACAGGTGCAGCAGTTCTTGTTTCTCCTTAGACAGCTGTTGTACCAGCCTATCCTGGGCACACAGGCTCTGATTCAGTTCTTCAATTTTTCTGTAGCAAAAAAGAAAAACAAACAGCAAGAGTAGCCATTATGGTTGTGGCACAATGATCGTCTGTATTGGTTAGCCCACTCCAAAGACAGCATGCTCCAGTACAGCAGCCTGTTACCTTTGGGGGTCATGGAACCCTTTCAGACTTTCCCTAGAAGGCCATATATTTTCTGCAGTGGCCGCCAAATATATACATGAAGACTGTTTTGCTTACATGTTCATGGTGTTAACAGACCTCTGAAATCTATCCATACATCTATAAACATTGATCAGTAATTTTCTCAGATTTAGGGTTCCACGTGTTTTATTTTTGTTCGTTGCTATGTTGTTCTCAGGTGCTATCAAGTCAGTTCCAACTCAGAGTGACCCTGTGGACAACAAAAGAAAACACTGCCCGGTCCTGCGCCATCCACACGATTGTTCTCATGTTTGAGCCCATTGTTGCAGCCACTGTGTCCGTCCATCTCGCGCAGGGCCTTTCTCTTTTCCATGATCCCTCTCCTTATCCAGGCTCTGGTCTCTCCTGAGAAAATGTCCAGAGCAAGTGAGACAAGGGCTTGCCATCTTTGCCTCTAAGGAGATTCCTTCTTCTAAGACGGATTTGCTGGTTCTTTTGGCAGCTCACGGTACTTTAATACTCTTCACCACGCACACAATTCAAGTGCACAGATTCTCCTTTGGTCTTCCTTATTCGACGTCCAACTTTCACATGCATATGAGGCAGATGAAAATATCATGGCTTGGGTCAGGCACACCTTAGTCCTAAAAGGAGCCTCTTTGATCTTCAACACCTTAAAGAAGTCTTGTGCAGCAGATTTACCCAGTGCAATGCATCGCTTGATCTCTAGAATGCTGCTTCCACGAGACTATTGTAGATCGAAGCCAGGTGACAACCTTGACAACTTCAATCTGCATTTATCATGATGTTACCTTTTGGTCCAGTTGTGAGGCTGTTGGTCTTCTTTACATTCAGTTGCATACTGAAGGCTGTGATTCTTGACCATCATCAGCAAGTACTTTGAGTCATCCTCCGTTTCAGCAAGCAAAGCTGTGCCATCTGCATATTGAAGGTTGTTAATAAGCCTTCCTCCAATCCCGATGTCACACTCTTCTTCATATAGTTCAGCTTCTCTGATGACGTGCTCAGCATGCAGATTGAATAAGTATAGTGAGAGGATACAGCCCTGATGCACATCTTTCCTGATTTTAAACTATGCAGTATTCCCTTGTTCTGTTTGCCTAGTTGCTTCTTAATCCATGTACAGGTTCCACATCAGCATAATTGTTCTGAAATTCCCATTCTTCTCAAGAGAATTGAGAAGTTCCATAGTGTTTTTTTTTGATCCACACAGTTGAATGCCTTTGCAGTTGATTGTTATAGTCAATAAATAAACAGAATATACAGTTTAAGTGTGGTATTTGCTCAGTGAATTCTACCATGTACTAGGAATACAAAGGTGGAAAATACCGTCTCTGTTCTGCAGAAACGTTTAATGTTTTGGAATGTGTGCTAGGAGTGGGGAGGCACAGCTACACACATGAATGACAGTGATGGAATGTGCTCTCATAATAAAGACATATACTGCACTCATACATCAAGGGCTGTCATGGAGCTATGGGAAGAAAGATAAAGGAGTGGCTCGTTTGACTTGGAAGTGTCTGGGAGGCTCAGGAGAAGAGAATGTGAAGGTTGTGTTGGTCTTCAAGCTCAGGGGGAGGAACTTCAGTCAAAGAAGGAAGATCTGAACACGGGAGCATGTTTGGAGATGATCCCTAAGCAAAGCCTGGAGGGAGGCATAGCACAGGAGGGAGAAAGGACTGCAACTGCCAGCTAGCCCCACGTTGCAAAGACCACGCATGTTGTTTTCACGTCGTCACACCACAGGCTTGAACCAGGAACTACCTTCTGCCTTACCCACGATATGCCTTACACATCGCACACAACCAATCTTGCTGTTGCTGTGCTTATGTCTCAGAATCCTAGTGATACCTTTTAGGCCAGTGGTTCTCAACCTTCCTCGTGCCGCGACCCTTTCATACAGTTCCTCATGTTGTGGTGACCGCCCCCCCAACCATAACATTATTTTCATTGCTACTTCATAACTGTAATTTTGCTACTGTTATGAATCAGGTGACCCCGGTGAAAGGGTCATTCGACTTCCAAAGGGGTGGTGACCCACAGGTTGAGAACCACTAGGGGGGAAAGGAAGTGATGTTAACAAACCCAGGGAAAAGGGAACAACAAGCGATCCAAATTGGTGGTGAGGTGGGTGTGGGAGGACTGGTAGGGCATGATCAAGGGGAATGTAACAAAGAGGAATTGCTGAAACCCTGGTTGGGACTGAGCATGATAGTGGGACA